ATATACATAACTATCAACTGTATTAATAGAGTATTTGTTTCTTGTTTTTCGTTAGTTAAATTTAATTTAGATGATAATTAAATATTATTAAGTGCTATTACTGTGCACCCACTGTACCCGCAAGATGCGACCCTTGATTTCTAAGATATCTTTTATAGATTATATTAGCAGAATAACAAACTCGAATCGGAGATATTATTCATGTTCCATACTCTATATTCATTACTTATAAAAATAAAGAAAGCATTGAAGATTAAAACGTGAACTAACACAGCACATTATGCATAACATATAACTATTAACTGTAGTAATAGAGTATTTGCACAATATACATAACTATTAACTGTATTAATAGAGTATATGTTTCTTGTTTTTCGTTAGTTAAATTTAATTTAGATGATATTTAAATATTATTAAGTGCTATTACTGTGCACCCACTGTACCCGCAAGATGTGACCATTGATTTCTAGGATATCTTTTATAGATTATATTAGCAGAATAAATAACTCGAATCGGAGACATTGTTCATGTTCCATGTTCCATATTCATTACTTATAAAAATAAAGAAAGCATTGAAGATTAAAACGTGAACTAACACAGTACATTATGCATAACACATAACTATTAACTGTAGTAATAGAGAATTTGCACAATATACATAACTATTAACTGTATTAATAGAGTATATGTTTCTTGTTTTTCGTTAGTTAAATTTAATTTAGATGATAATTAAATATTATTAAGTGCTATTACTGTGTACCCACTGTACCCGCAAGATACGACCATTGATTCGTACGATATCTTCTATAGATTATATATCTTTTATAGATTATATTAGCAGAATAATAAACTCGAATCGGAGACATTATTCATGTTCCATGTTCCATATTCATTACTTATAAAAATAAAGAAAGCATTGAAGTTTAAAACGTGAACTAACACAGCACATCATGCATAACACATAACTATTAACTGTAGTAATAGAGTATTTGCACAATATAGTTAACTATCAACTGTATTAATAGAGTATATGTTTCTTGTTTTTCGTTAGTTAAATTTAATTTAGATGATATTTATTTATTATTAAGTGCTGTTACTGTGCACCCACTGTACCCGCAAGATGCGACCATTGATTTCTAGGATATCTTTTATAGATTATATTAGCAGAATAACTAACTCGAATCGGAGAAATTATTCATGTTCCATGTTCCATATTCATTACTTATAAAAATAAAGCAAGCATTGAAGATTAAAACGTGAACTAACACAGCACGTTATGCATAACACATAACTATTACCTGTAGTAATAGAGTATTTGCACTATATACATAACTATTAACTGTATTAATAGAGTATTTGTTTCTAGTTTTCGTTAGTTAAATTTAATTTAGATGATAATTAAATATTATTAAGTGCTATTACTGTGCACCCACTGTACCCGCAAGATGCGACCATTGATTTCTAGGATATCTTTTATAGATTATATTAGCAGAATAATAAACTCCAATCGGAGACATTGTTCATGTTCCATGTTCCATATTCATTACTTATAAAAATAAAGAAAGCATTGAAGATTAAAACGTGAACTAACACAGCACATTATGCATAACACATAACTATTAACTGTAGTAATAGAGTATTTGCACAATATACATAACTATTACCTGTATTAATAGAGTATATGTTTCTAGTTTTCGTTAGTAAAATTT